ATACGGACGAGATGGCTATACTCGAAGGAAATATTCTCACTATCGCCGGAAAGAAATGTACGGTTCAATTTCAACCGAGTGCCGACATGTGTTGGCAGAGTTGGGCTAATGGAGAATTAAACCAAGCTGCCACCTATCCCTCTCCATATGCCAATGTGCACTCAGGTATAAGCATTTTTGGCCATTGTGTTATATTATTTTTTACCATAAGTGCATGAGATTTTCTCGTAACAACTTAAAACTTACCCCTGAGGATTTGCAGCGTTTCAATTATAGCTATATCAGAAGCATCCTCAGAGAAACCCAAAGATAAAAATTTTGTGAGCTGGATAGCTGAACAGGTATAGCAACAGACTGATCCTGAAAGTGCAATTTCAAAACCTGCTCCAGCCATCAAAACTTTTGTTATGTTGCACAGTGTAAGTAAATCATGAAAATTTTCTTTCTATGCTTCTTTGAGGATGATTCGATCCTGACATTTGGTTTTTAAATTAGAATTTGACTATTCGGTTTTGCCAAAACCATTTTGCCAAAGGGAGAAAATACATTAGTTATTACAATGGAAGTCCCTTGTCTAAGTTGCGAGTGAAGAAAGCAGTGGTGGATCCACTGAAAGGGGGTGGGTGCAGGGGGGTGTGCACCTCCAAGCCCATCACAGGATGGGGTGCAGGGGGTGTGTGCAAAATTCTGTCAAGTGTTGGATTTTAGTAGCTAAAATACAGCTAAACTGTTGCATTATATGGTATTTCATGAAAAGTTAAGACGTCAGTGAGATTGAAAATTTATTTGAATTATGGTTGTGGAACTTTTATGATGTCAATTTTCTCGTATGATTGCCGTCAGAATGCTGCCAAAAGCCTTTTGCCAGTACCCCCCTAAGCTGATAACACTTTCAGCACTCGACTGGAGGCTCGGATCATTGGTATGCATTGTCAAGTCAACCTGGTGCACTTCCTCTGAAATTCAGGGCTGGATCCACCACTGGGAGAAAGCACTAATAATAAAAACAATATGTGTTCATGATGGCCATGGTGTTGCCAAACTCAAAGAGTTGTATTTCACCTCTCTCAAAAATTTGTATTCCCCCACCTGGGAAATAGCATGTTTCAAGCCATTAATGAATACAATTTGCAATGTACCCTTATGGTATTCATAAAAAATCTGATCTGATACACTGTTGGTATTTCAATTATTGCTAATAAATTTTTATTATTTAACCTAATATTTGTAAAATAATCAAACCTTGTGACAAAATAGTCATCTACTTGATATTCAGGCTATAAATGATATACTTCTTATCATGTTGAGGAGTAGAATATTTTGTCACAAACAAATTCAATTTGATATAAATATTTTAATGTAATAACATTTCACATGATTATTGTTTTAGGTAATATTTGTACCATGGGTGGAACCATTGGATATGGTACTAATGACACTTGGAAACCCTATACCAATTCAGACCGGAAAGAGCATGCAAACATGGTTCAAAATTTTGAACGCTCCTTAAAGACATCTCTGTCTGACAAAACCCGCCATGAGAAGAAGCTGCAATTCATGGCAGATAATGGGATTCGACAACTTGTACCCCCCTGAATTGGAATTTTTGCTGACAAGCAAAGGCCGGAACCTCTCCACTGCGAGATTAATGCGTGGCAACAAGTACTCAACATCATTTACCAAGAATCTGTGCAACGCAAGATGTTTGATCAGTTTATCAAAGTGTTAGGTGCACCTGCTCTTGCTTCCTCTGCTCCCGAGCCTGTAATCGAGGAACATGAAACACAAGTTCTTGGTTGTGGTTTACTGTTCCTTGTGCCATCTATCAAAGACCACTTTGATGATGAAAAGAAAAGGTTTAACAAGATTCCTACCAGAATAATAGGAGAACAAGCAATTGCAATTGCCAGATATGGTTATCGATTATTTGACTGCCTGGAATTCCCTGAAGAGTCAGCTGTACAAAACGTCAAGCGTCTATCACTCAGCAGAATCGTGTTATACCTGCGGAATGCTTGTGCAACTTTCAACAAAGTCTCGTCAACAAAAGCAGAACTGTTAGAACTTGAGGAGAATTGCAAACTCTACTTCAATCTCCTTTGTTTATTCTTCCAAAATCATGTTAACGTGACCAGCTGGACTGTGGGTTATGCATTACCATATCATGCATTAAAACTTTATGATGTGTACAAAGTTGGCTATGGTATTATCTCGCAACAGGGGAAGGAAGCAAAGCACTCTGCTGTAAAGAATGACTTGGAATTGAGCAACAGGTCCAACAAGATCGTTTCGGTTTGTATCATTTTTCACGTATACTTACTTTTATAATATTTATGCTTTCAGGTCCAACAATGCTGACAAAAATGGAAGTGGTGGCAGGTAATGCGTGCTAATTATGTTCGCAATATCTATCTCCCAGAGCACCAACCGCTACCACAATCATACAAGTCACATTACAAATCAAGAATCCCACCTCATTGTGATTCCGAAGGAGTCTGTGATTGTGGAAGACGTGTGGCAGTTGATTGCAATTTTTGCCATACCTGTCTTCAATGTCAGGAGATTGTTGATTCAGCGCAGAAACAGAAGTTATCAACTCATCTTACTGAGGTTTTTAAGCCTTATATGTGCTCTGAATGTGGCCAACGCTTTGGAGAACGAGTTGATTTGGAGTCACATCATGTGCTGCACCAAGATGGAGCTGTGGCTATAAGCTTGTGGAATGGTAAAAATCCAAAAGAAATGAGTGTTTCTGAGCTGAAAGCAGAGCTTAAGAAGAGAAATATTGGGACGAGTGGGAAAAAAGAAATTTTATTGAAGAGATTCGAAAGTTCTTTGTGGGTAGAGAAAAACAGTTAATTAAATTCCTCGAGCTTCTGGGATGAGGAAGTGTTCATGGGATATTTATTGAATGGGCATGTTTGGTAAATCAACAGGGAAATTAACTCCTGTGTGCCATTGTAATGTGCATTCCATTGTATGTATAAAGCCAAGGAATATTCTATTACAACTTTTTATTACTAGTATTTATTTTAGAGCTAGTATTTATTTTACTCTAAATAGTTGTCCTTATTGTGATTATATATAAGTTGTCTTTTTCTACAGCAAAACATAACAATTTTCAAACTTTAATTACTTTATGTCATTGTAACATATGAGAGAAATCTGTTCCCTCATTAGTACAGGATATATTTCAAATATTATTGCACTTTTTCTAAACTTGAAGTTTTCCTTTTAAATTACAGTAAGCAGTATAACTATGTGAAATGCATAATGGCTAATTATTAGGTGAAGCACATTCATTTAAACTAACAGGTCCAGGATAGCGGTTTAAGGCACAATTGTAGAATCTATTACAAACCAATTTAGCTCACGTGAGGCACAGTGGAAACTGCTTTAATATTTGTTTGGTGTGTTGAAACAGTACTGTATGTTTATTATACCTAAGTACTGGCCTTCATTATAATTAACATTGTGGTGTTCCCACAAACCAAACAAACATACAACAAATATATTAATATGCAATGCCAGCTATAGTAACTAAGCTGGATACACATGCTGGCACCAGGGTTTAATGTTAGCAAAAGACATTTACTACCCAACATTTTTCTCACGTCAGCTGAAATTGCCAAGTATTGGGGTAAGTATATTAAATTATGACAAATACAGGTGGCTTGTGGCTGAATTTGTTCAATGCCTACAAAATTGTGGAAATTTGTGTCATTATTTTTTGTTTGTTTTTTTCAAGTTTAAATGCCAGGTATTGCAACGAAATCTACATGCTTGAATAATGTAAAGTTTGTATTGATCATATTCTGTTCATTCACTGCCAAATTTAATTGGAGACTAGATTCATTAGTGTTTGGAGACCTGAGTCCAATGCATAATTGTCAGCCGTGTATCTTTGAATATAAAATGACACATTGACTTTCTGGGTCTTCATACTGTAGTCAATACAGAATGGCGTAGATTTTGAAACGACTATTGCTGACTTTCCGTTGTACGTAGATTCCCTTTTCCTCCCTGTCGTTGACGGAATCCTTCTAAAATGCCGCGTAGCAAAACATATTTCACCTGAGAAACGAGCTGGGGAAAAAAGCATTTTGATTGATCGCATTTGCGAAAAAGTGACCACATGTCTTGTGGCACCGCCACTTGAAATAATCTCTCCTGAATATCCACGGCACAGAGTTAGTATATGTCGAAAAATTGCACAGGGGATAAACAATGACACGGGATTTACAAGGCCATAAACTTTTACCGATTTCACATAAATAACAATCGATCATAGGGCCAACCAATTCCAGTTTGTTGCCAACTACTTCCTCGAGCTGGTCGTCCATGTTAAGCATTCATCTCGGTTACCGACGTGTTCCAAAACTTTTCACCCCTTTCTTCACCTTCTTTTGAAGCCTTTAAGTCAAGCATTATACTATCCTTGTTGTCGGCCATTTTAGCATAGTTGTTTGTCTTGTGAAGGCATACCGCTGAAAAAGCGAGCCCGCACGAGTGGGAGATGTTTCGAATGTTTTGACCAACGTGATTCTCATTTGGATTCCGAGCTCTCAGGACCGAGTAAAAGAGACAACCCACCATCCACCCCTTCCTCCACCTTTGGACGGCAAATGTAACGAGATGGCACTGGGAAGTATAGTTGCAACATAATCGAAGTATGTACACAAACTTATTTCTTAATTGGCCGCTTGGCACAACCTTATTACAATGGCTATGGAAATATTCAATTCTCAGCATGAGTGAACTACTCGCATCGATATTCATATTGTAATAATTCGCTTAGCTTTGAACAAACTCAGTTATTATCAGTTTTTCTATCTCTCTCTACACCACACGTTTCATATATATCTCTGTTCTGGAGCATATTTCCATACGCCCCCAATGTTCACCCATGCATACTAAGTATACAAAAATTATCTTTATATTTACATTCATCACACTACTCCCTCCCGAGTCATCTTACCGACTCGGAGATGACACTAATGTTACAAATCTAGAATAGTTCTCGGCTTCCTCTTTCGTTTGCTCCGTCGTAGGGTTCCCATTGAAGATTCACCAACTTCGTTATCCACACTTTCTTGAGTCTCTACGTCGAAACGACTAGTCTCACACTGTTCATTACCCCAAATATTCGATTGGTGGCCAGCATACTTCCATAATCTGTTTCGATGCACAACTTTCGGTTTGGTCTGCATGTTTTTCCTTATCCGATATACCAGATCATTCAGTCTTTTTACAACAGTAAACGGACCCTCCCAGGGCCTCGTCAATTTGGACGATCTTCCCTTCTTTCGTCGAGGGTTAAACAGCCAGACAAGATCATCTTCTTCTAAAGGGTTTGCACTACTGTCGTTATTATACTGTTTCCTCATCTTCTCGTAGCTTAATTCCAAGTTTTCCCTGGCAAATCTGTGAACTACTTCCAGATTTTCTTGTAGACTTTGGACATGCTGCGTAGAACTCTTGCGTTCATATTCTGGAGATCCATAAACGAGATCAACTGGTACACGAACCTCATGCCCTAACATCATACGTGCAGGAGTAAATCCAGTTGCCTTGTGCACAGCTGTCCTATACGCCATTAGAAGAAGAGGTACATATTTGTCCCAATCGCGTTGATGCTCTTCCACAAACAAAGATAATTGTGTCTTTAAAGTTCGGTTGTATCTTTCCACCATCCCGTCTGACTCTGGATGGAGTGGAGTTGTCCTAGTTTTATGTATACCGAGCAGTGCGCACATTTCCTGGAATACCGCCGACTCAAAATTTGTTCATTGGTCGGAGTGAAGCTAGAGTGGAACACCAAATCTGCAAACAAATTCGTTGACGAGAACTTCTGCCACCGTTTCTGCGTCTTGCCTAGGAATGGCATAAGCTTCAGGCCACTTGCTGAAATAATCCATAGCCACCAACAGGTAACGATTCCCCTTATCAGAGAGAACGAATGGGCCCATCACATCAATTGCAATCCTTTCCATAGGGCTACCAACCAGATATTTCCCCAGACGTGCTTTTTGTCGCCGACTTGGTCCTTTCTTTGATGCGCACAGACCACAACGCGCACACCACATTTTGACATCCGATTGACAATACGGCCAATAGAATTTTTCTTTTACCCGTTTCAATGTCTTTGCCACTCCGAAGTGTCCCGCCACAGGATGATTATGCAGTTGTGTTAGAATCTCTTCGCGCAAACACTTTGGTACAATTAGTTGCAATCTCACTTCTTCACCGTCTGTGGACTCCCATTTCCTATACAGAACGTCCTGTTTCACAATTAGGCTGTCCCACTGCGCCCAATAAATTTTGGTGACTTCGCTACGACCTGACACCGCTGACCATCCAGGTCTTCCATTCCCAACCTTCAGCCATCGAAGAACTGGACCGATATCTGGATCTTTTTCTTGAATTTCGGAAAGTTCCTGCTGACTTACGGTTTTTTTTACAGAGTCCTTCAAGCTTTTGTTGGGTATGTCCTCTGAGGTGGAACGCCTCACATCACAAACACCAGGAGAAGGTTCCTCTCGACTCGAACATTCTACTTCTTTAAACGCGTCTTCTTTTGACTCAGCTCTATCACAATGTCTACAGTGTAACTTTAAACATGGACGTCGCGACATGGCGTCAGCATTCAAGTGATGTTTTCCCTGTCTATATACGATTTGCATGTCATACTGTTGTATCTTGTGAAGCCATCGAGCCAACTGGCCCTCCGGACTTTTAAAATTTATCAACCAACGCAATGAAAAATGGTCCGTTCGCACCACAAACTGTCTTCCGTACAAGTATGAATGGAAATGATCCAGGGCTTTTACAATCGCCAGCAGTTCCCTTCTTGTGACGCAGTATTGACGTTGAGTTCGATCAAGAGAACGACTAAAATATGCGATGACTTTCTCCTCTCCGCCTTGTTTCTGTGACAGTACTGCTCCGATTGCACTATTGCTGGCATCTGTATCAAGAATTAAGGTGTCGTTTTCTGTCAAGAAAGACAAGACGGGTGCGCAAACAAGCGCTTTCTTTAATTTCTGAAACGATTCTTCCGCTAAGGAATCCCAGATGAATGCTTGATTTTTCTCTAACAGACGAGTTAACGAATGAATTTTCTGTAATAGGAACATAGCCCCAAGAAACTTCGTAATTCTGTAAGGCACTCAGGACTGGGCCAATCATTCACAGTGCTAACCTTTTCTGGATCCGTAGAGATTCCGTCTTCGCTAACGATATGTCCCAGATATTTCACTTTACGACGAAATAAGTTGCATTTCCCGACAGACAGCTTCAGCCCTGCTCTTCGCAAGCAGTCAAACACCTTACGTAAGTTGCCAAGTTTCTCTGCAAATGTCCTCCCATGAACGATTATATCGTCTAAGTAGACCAGACAAACACTCCACGGCAACCCAGCTAATACATAGTCCATCAATCTCTCAAACGTCGCTGGTGCATTGCAAAGCCCAAATGGCATTACACGAAACTGCCACAGTCCTTCTCCAATGGTGAAAGCCGTTTTCTCCTTGTCTTCAGCGTTCATCATGACTTGCCAATACCCGCTCTTTAGATCTAACGTTGAGAACCATTTTGAACCACTTAACGCGTCTAACGTCTCATCAATCCTGGGAAGAGGATAAGAGTCCTTTCTTGTTACGTCATTCAATTTTCTATAGTCCACGCAAAAACGCATAGTGCCATCCTTTTTCTTCACCAAGACAACTGGTGACGACCAAGGGCTTGCTGAAGGTTCTATTACTTTTTGCTGTAGCATGTCTTTCACTGCTTGACGAGCTACTACTTTCTTTGTTTGCGGCATCCTTCTAGGTGGCTGTTTGATTGGTCTTACCCCTCCAGTCTCAATACGATGGGTAACGATATCCGTCCTCCCGAGATCACTGGAGTCTTTTGCAAACAAATCAGCGTTTTCACAAAGAAATTCATAAACTTCGTTCCTCTGCTATTCATCTAGTTCCGCTACACTTTCTTGGAAAAGTAGGTTCAAATGTTCTCCCATCATACTGCTTGAACTGGTTGGCCCATGTTCACCGTCTTCTTCATTTGAATCAAGTTCAGCCACAGAGCAAATGGTTTCACACTTTGCCAAATCAACTCCAGCCAAAACTTTGCGTACATCATCTGCCACATTGACCATTCTCACCGGTACCACAGGCGATTCCTTATTGAGCTTCACCAACGTTTTACCCACAATAATTTCTGGAATCGTTCCTCGAACGTCCGGTTCAATAAGTCCGTAATCCACCGCTCCGGGATAATCGAGCACTCGAGCTGGAATGATAACTTCAGTATGAGGCTGGATACATGTATCTTCAAGTACAACAACCCGATAACAAGGAGGACTAAAGTCTTTATCTTCCCCATTCGGCAGAATGGGAGTTTGGACGTCCCCAATTGTCATAACTTTATTTACGAGATCCAAACAGCCTCCACGTTGCTCCAAAAAGTCACATCCGAGAATACAGTCTTCTCCTATCTCTGCCACAAAGAAATTCTGAAGGAACTCCCGTCCAGCTATTTCAACTCTTAACGCAATTCTCCCTATCAGGGACATCTTTTCACCCGTAACCGACCGCAAACAATTGTTGACAGGTTCAACACTTGACAAATCCAAACCAATCTTTGGCAAGACACGACTATTCACAATCGATATATTGCTACCAGTATCGACTATCATACGAATAGACTTTTTTTCAAGTGTTCCCTCAACAAAGAGTCCGTCATTTTTCTGCCATGAAATATTATTTGGCGATTTCTTTAGGGCTCTTTCCGTTAACGTCGAGCCCCGCCCTTCAGACTCGACACTTCCTCGTTTCCCTGATCCGAATTCTTGTTTTTGGCTTCATCCTGCGTGGAATTCTCGTTTTTGAATTTTCGACATTCTCGTTGCAGATGCTTTTCAGAACCACACGTCCAACACCTTCGTCTTCTGATTGGTGACCTGTCTTCACGTCTTTTCTGGCTCGCCTCACTGACAATCTTTCGTAACTCGCTCGTCATTCGCTTCAGTTCAGCTAAAAACTCTTGATTTTTTTTGTAATGAAGCATCGACCTCAGAAACCATATCTCCCTGTGTCCCATTTCTTGGCGATTCTCGCACTGTCCTAACAAATTTAGTTCTACGTTTCGCCGCGAGAGTGAACGATTCTACTTCCAGCGACACGCCAAGAGCTGCTCGAAGAGACGACGGTCTTGCCTGGGCCACTCTCAAACGTAGCTCGTCGTCTGTAAGGGCATCAATAAATTGATCTTTCGTCAATGTCTCTAAAACTGCAGGAGATGCGTTAGGATATGCCAACTTCGCTAATCTTTCTATGTCCTGAGCCAACTCCGGCAAACTTTCTTCTCGGTGTCTAACTCGACTGCGTAATTTCATTCGATGCAATTCCGCCTGCCTTTGACTCCCGAATCGACTTTCGAGGGCTGCCACCAACGATGGATAATGAACACGGCTTTCGGGCGGTAGATTCGACAAAACTGTCAATGCTTGGCCTCGCAAACTAGTTGCTAGAAAAGCAGCTTTCTCCGTTCCATCCCATCGGTTAATCTCTGCTACGATTTCAAATTGCGTCTTGTACGCTTCCCAAGGAGTACGACCATCAAATACTGCAGGCTTCTGAACTGGACGACCAGAAGAATCAGCTGTACGAGTTGCAGTACCATAACATTCTGGGTTCTCTTTAATGTCCACTTGAGCATAGGGTGTACTCATGCGAGGCAACGATTTCGATCGCGACTGTTTACGTTCTGGCCGGTTAAGCATTGTCGAGAAATCGTCAGGTTTTGTTGCTTCCGATTTTTGAGGCTCCGTTGTGATAAGAGACTGGAATTCTTCGCGAAGTTCTTGTTTGACTCGTTCATGTAACGAAGCAAACACCCCTGCGTTAATTTTCTCCAATCGCTGTTGGCTTATATCCATCTTCGATTCAACTGACTGCACTCTGTTACGTAATTCAAAAACAATACACTCGAGTTCTTTATTCCGATCGCAAACACGAGAAAAATCATCAGAAAGCTGCTGTATTGCGTTGCTTAAAATCCCGACCACTTCGTATATCTTATCCTCCTGCCGTGCTTTATACTCTTGCAGAAGGTCTCGTTGCTCCTTAACCATTGCTAACAACTCATTCTCAAAACCCGATCGATAAGGCTCGTCACAGCCCGTTTCTTCTGTATTAGTTGCCACATCTGTCCTGGTATTTTGCTGGGCTTCTTGAGCTCGAGTAACAGGCATTTTTCCGACTCAGTGAAGTAAAAGGAACTCCAACTGAATCCTGGCGGGGTCGCCAATGTAATAATTCGCTTAGCTTTGAACAAACTCAGTTATTATCAGTTTTTCTATCTCTCTCTACACCACACGTTTCATATATATCTCTGTTCTGGAGCATATTTCCATACGCCCCCAATGTTCACCCATGCATACTAAGTATAAAAAAAATTATCTTTATATTTACATTCATCACAATATAAACATTATCCTCTTTGGACATTACAATAATAATATATATCAATGTCATTATTGCTTTATTTAATGAAATACAAAATAAAGAATTAAGTGGTTGAGGCAATTGCTCTAGGATTAGGTCGCAATTTTACCATAGACCTCACGTTTTCTTTACGAAATTTGATAACCTGGCATAAAGCCAATTCCTATTTACAAATTCACTCTATTTCTGCATAAGGGTATATGTACTGAGCCAGATCAGTGTTCTAAGAAAGATTTCCCTGATCATTTCTTCCCAGGGCCCAGCTCAGAGTTTATGTCTTGCAGGGCAGACTAGGACCCAGCTCTAAATGGAGTATATGTTCTAGCCGACTCAGGACCCAGCTCTAAATCCGCGCGGTAAAAGTATATGTCTTGGGCAGATTAGGACCCAGCTGGAAATCAGTATATGTCCTAATCGACTTTTCCCAAGATCCAGCTTTTCAATACGAGCATATGCCCTGGGAACCGCTCAGCACCCAGCTCTTCGCAGATACAAAAAATACAGCATATAGAACAGTTGTCCCACACTTCCATAACCCCACAAACCTGGTGTTCCGGGCGTTCTTACTAACTCAATATTATAACAAACACAGTTGATGAGGACATTAATTCAAAATTTGGTGCGAGTAATACCAGCAGTACTAATTTCGGTTTTTTTGGTGGTTAGCATTGTTATACGCACTAAACAGCCCTTCTTCATTTATGAGCCCACGTTTTTCTTCATTTTGGGTCTTTTTACAGGCAATTTTTCCGTATAATATAATAATTTTGCTCAAACACTAACTCCAGTGCTTTATAATTTCAGTGCAGTTCAACACTCGGTACCGTAAAAATAATACATTCAGAATTTCCCCGAATTTGTTTCGTTTTTGTCCAGCTGAGAGTGAGAGAAATGGCACATATAACTGTAGTGTGGATGCGGTCATGAGTTAACATAACAGCGCTGGGAATCAGTCGGATTATAGAAAATTTGTGTTAGCAAATTTCTCTTATCTGGTATTTTATTATTCCTTTTTTTATACGTTTATCTCTGCAAAAAAATTAGCGTTCAACTAATGCCGTTAATGTGTTAAATTCATATATTTGTACTTTAATTATCACTTGCAACATTGTGTTAATTGCTTGTACCACATATAACAGATTCCCCACAATGTTATGTTAAGTAAATGAAATCTGAACACTTTATTTTTAAGTAAACTAGTAAAGCCAAACAATCATATGAAACACAAACATATGCATAGTGCTTTATCGCTTGCAATGACACATTGTCCTGTTTTAATCCAACATTGTGTTAATTGCTTGTAGCACACATTTAAACATTTTTAATACACACTTAATGTAAATCACACTGTAGTGTAGAGATTAAAAACAATAATAATGTTGAAAAGCCACAAAATCATATATTTCACATGCATAGTGCTTTATCACTTGCAATGAAACATTGTCGTGTTTAATTTTAATCCAACATTGTGTTAATTGGTTGTAGCACACATTAAACATTTTTTATGATACACTTAATGTAAATCACACTGTAGTGTAAAGATTAAAAAATGCACAATACAACTATACATTAATAATGTTAAAAAGCCACACAATTATATATTCATTTCATATTCATAGTGCCTTATCTCTTGCAATGACACATTGTCCTGCTTTAATGCAAATTGTTTGTAGCGTGCATTACTTAAAGACCTTTTTGAAAAAGAGCAAGAGGCCTGTTTCGAGTTGCACCTGTTGCAAGCTACACAAAAACAAAGTTTTTCCAGTCAAACTTTAAAAATAAGAAATTATTTTGAAATTTTGACAGCAGAAAACCGGACTGGGCTCATTTTTGCATAACTCGTAACAGACCTCATGCTGTTTTTTGGAATAGGTCTGTGGCACACTTAATGTAAGTGGCACTGTAGTGTAGAGATTAAAAATACACAATACAACTTTACATTAATAATGTTAAAAATTAAGCCACACATAATATATGTAGTGCTTTATCTCTTGCAAAACACATTAATATTGTCCTGTTTTGATGAGCTGTGTGTAAATTTCTGCACTTATGCCATGTGCAGTTAATGTAAATGGAACAGTAGTGTGGATGTAAAAAAGATGTAATAAAACTATACACTAAATGTTGAATAGTAATTATTGCTCTCTATGTTAGGGGACAATGAATATATATATATATATATATATATATATATATATATATATATATATATATATATATATATATATATATATATTATAGTGATGTTGTTACTTTTCATTTAAAGTTTGAAGCAATATACAGTATGTACATTATAGGAACTGCACCATTGATAATAAAATAGTGATGAAGTTATCAATGTCATACTCCTAATAGAGTGACTTGTACAAATAGTGTGTTTAAACAGGTATGTACTTTTATCAAAAAATGATTGTAAAAATAAAATATGTTGCATGAACAATGCAGTTGGTAATATATATAACTAGCAGAAAACATCAAATGGGTAAGTCAAACTCCTTCCAATGATTAATAAGTTGAACTCATAAAAGGAAATCTATTAGGGGCTATTTTTAGAAACCTAATTGTGCATATATATATATTCATTGTATGCAAGCCCAACTGATTTGTTTTGATATTGATTGCTATTTCCCTCATTTAAACATGTATATATGAATATTATGCTTCTAGTGATGTCCCCGAATCTATTATTGATATAATAATTAAGTCTGAACACTCAATGTTCATTTGTTTGGCTAAGCCTTCTTATAAGATTCAATGCAAGCTGTCTGCATGGCATTTAACATATTGCAGTGTTGTCATTGTTGTCTTTACATATATCAACCATACTCAAGAAAGCAAGGGAAATCATGCCTTGGTACCATAATTGCTGATCCTAGCCTGTATAACTGAATTTAAATAGTTATTTAAGTATATGGATGGTGGCCTATATATGAATATAGGTTGCCATAATGCTGTTAATTACACCTAGTCACAGAGCCTACACTAAAATCTTGCTGCACCTAACCATGAACCTGTCTCAAAAGAAGTCAAATATATAAAAATGTTGCTCTGTCAAACCAGTTACATGATTTTCAAGATTTTAGGCTTCTTCTGCAAGTCATTGCAACAACCCAAATAGTATTAATGATCAAATACTAATAATTTGGCTTTTGTTTATTGCATGACTTGCAGAGGAAATCTAAAATCTAAAAAATCATGTCACTCATGTGACAATGAAGGCAATATTTTTATATATTTCAGTTATTTTATGGCAGGTTCATAGGTGCTGCTACACCGTATTAGGTTTCCTTCTCTTCTTGAATAAGGTTGACAAATGTCCCCATGCATAGTTTTTCATAACCTAGCACTATTTTAAAAGAAATCTTGCGGCAATATAAACTTTCGTAAATAATTCAGAATCATTCCATTGATGTGCTTACAAACATTCGATCTTTAACAATTTGAAACATGTAAACATATACCTTCAACTGAAAAGACTGATTAGCTTGTTACATGTACACATAGAATGTTGTTAGCACATCAACATAACAAAACAAAAAGTTACCATAAACGTTAATTATGTTGTGGAAAGCCATGGCAGTTCCATTCTCCAAAATTAAACGAAATTAAAAGTTTCCTTTGCTTGATCTTGTACGCGAAAGTAAACCTCTTTTCATCGGATACAACTATAGCCAAACATTATGTCCCTTTCGAGAACCAGATGCAAGATTTCTTTTAAAATAGTGTGCACGTGTGATTTCTTCGCTAGGGAAACCAGACACAAACGACAAAAACTTCTGAACCAGGCGAATGGACGTGAAGGAAATCAATTCCGCATTCGCGTTGTTATACTGTGGCAACAGAAAGGCTCGACAAAACCATTCATGGCTCTTACGACTTGCGCAAATAATGAAAACATCGCATACGGAATGTGCCGAGAAATTTCGCCGCGAAATGGATTGCGCATCCCACGCCTCCCTGCTAACCGTCGATAAATAGCACTCAACCAGATCTTTGCCTCGTCCTTTAGCACACTGCCAGGGATAATTGGATAACTAGTGTGAAGCTACAACAGGATTCACCACAGGATTCGCTCTTCCTCCGAGAACAACAAAATCGGACATATGCGAAGCTAGCACGACATTCAACCGCACTAAATTCGATACGTAAACACAATATATTATTTTTTATTTTGCGGTTAAAAACAGGCAGTATATCAATGAAACTGGTATCGATAAAAAGCTTACATAACACAGATTCCGAATATTTAATTTTTATCTTGGCCCAAATTCGTTGTTGAATCTTACAGCTCCTCAAACGCAGACGTCTGCCAGCCTGAGATTCGAAATCGCATATAATGATGTACGTTAAATGCGCGTTGAAATACGAGCAAAGTAAACACCAAAAAACGGCTTCAAAATTTATGAAACTGGTATCGATAGAAAGCTTACATAACACAGATTCCGAATATGTAATTTTTATCTTGGCCCAAATTCGTTGTCGAATCTTACAGCTCCTGAAACGCAGACGTCTGCCAGCCTGAGAT